TGGGGGGAAGGGCAGGGTCTGCCTTCCCAAGAGTGTGGGTGTACGTAGACATGCCCTGAGAAGTCAGAAATGCATGTAGAGTGGTTCTGGCACAGAGGTGTAGCTTATTCACACTTGAACATGGTCACACCAGAAGCAATGTGGACATTCTTTTGGTGTATACCTCGTCCAGAAGAATCCTGCCACCCATTCCCTTTCAGTGGACTGATGATTTCACTGGCTGTACTGTGCTATGGATGTCTCTCTTGGCCTGTCCCAGATTCAGTTGTGGGGAAGACTGTAATTTAAAAGCTCAGAATGAGGCCTGCCATAGCTAATAGTGCTGGGGAGCTGGGAACTACCTCTGATCCATTTCTTCAACATAAAAATACTTGTCTGCCTCTTGCTTCCATGAGTCAGCACTCTTGGTATAAATCATTTACAATGACCATTGTGAGATCACTTCAATCAGGTGTGGGATGATGGTAAATTTGGGTCTAAAATAGGAGCTGTCCTTTGTCAAGTGGACATTTGAGGGGAACAGTTACAGAGATATCATGTGCTCAGCAGGGTTATTCATACTCTGTGACTCATCTGACTGTCCCCTCTGCTGGGTTTCTATGAGGAAAAAAGCGTCTGTCCCTCCCAAGTGGTCACATCATCCTAGCCTTGGTGGCTGAAGCAATAAACACCACAAAACATTTCCTGTTAATCACCTCAGTTCCTATAATTTCCATCTTATCATCCTTCAGGGACAAATGGTGTGAGAGTCATTTACTGGAGCCAGTACAGCATGACTACACTAATATCACTAGAGTTCCTTTAGCCCAAGGGAGCTCAGAGCCAGGCCGTGTCTCATGCAGTAGATGGAGGCAGATAGATGAGGAGGTGCAAAAAGCAGAGTGGTCCAGGTGTCTGCCAGTGGGGTAGCATGGTACAGCTGTTATGCAGCTGTAATGTGCATGGCAGCTGTAACCCAGCACCATGACCCCAGACAGCCTCCACAGGGCTCTATGCTGTGATGGAGCCATAGGCAGAACTGAGATGAGTCATAACACAAGAATGTCACCACCAAAGCCAAGGGATGGTTGGGTTCTGGGTGTCCAGCCCTACCCCACAGGGTCTACATGGTTGCCTCTTGTTCACTGGGTGTTTCCACCTTCTGGTTTTAGGTTGCCCACTCCTGACCACCACAGGCCTTTCTGGCCTTGTCCAGCTTCAAGACCTGGAGGAGCTGGAGCTGACCAACTGCCCTGGTGCCACCCCAGAGCTCTTCAAGTATTTCTCCCAGCACCTGCCGTGCTGCATGGTAATCGAATAAGCAGTCCCCAGGATTGGCCAACTGTTGGAGTCATCTTCTCCAATCCCAATCCAGCACTGACCGACCAACCAGAGTCATCCGATTGTTTGTTTTTCTTTCTTTCTATTTTGAGAGATGCAAAAGACACTGGCGAGTTAACTCCACCACCACGTGTAAAACAAACCAGTTATTCACATCACCACACCCGGTGACAGTGCCTGGAGATTGAGATTTGCTCTCTCAGTGAAAGGAGGCTTCTGTCTGTTCATATGCCGCAGACTTCACAAGAGAACCCCTCTGCAAGGTTTGTAAATTTCCCACACCTCCATCATCTCTCGTCGTCTTTGTAGTCGTCTGTCCTGAAAGATTTTAACTTAAAAAACAACTCAAAAAACAAAACAAAACACAATAAAGCTGAACAAATGACACAAAAAGAGACAGAGAGAGAGAGAGCAATGCAAATTGATGAGTTGGCCCAGGACCATGTGATCTCACACCCTGTGTGCCGTTCCCCCTCAGTGCTGGATTTCACGTGGTTTCCGTCTGGATGTCTCTCATGATGGAGGGTAGAAGTTCCACCCGCTCCACCCATGGTTCTGGGTGGGCTCAGAGGGGAGTCTGGGGTGGGGTCTAATTGAAGCCCTTCCTCTGGGTATTGCATGGTCGAGCCCGGAACTGAAATGTCCGGTGTTGCTGGGAGCTGAACCAGAAGGTGAAGAAGGGAAGAGGAGGATCCTGAGGGACAAAGAGACTTGAAGGAGAAGGGCCGGAATAACCGATGCCATGGGTTCTTGTTTTGTCTCTTCATTCCTCAGACGGGATGCTGCAGGTCTCCCGTGCTGGAGGCGTTTAAAAAATAAACCGACCAGTGCTGTGAAAGAGAAACACAGGGCCCGATCCTGAGACTTTTGGCAGGCTGGGTTCCTTTTGCTCCAGGAAGTGAAGCTGGTACGTTAACTGTGATCATCTTGTCTTCGTCAGAAGCACAGATCCATGGGCAAATTTCCTGAGAAACAAACAGATTGACCCAGCTGAGTTGTCACTCCCCCTACACAACCCTGTTCCCCAAACACCCAACAACCCTAAGGTCATGTGGCCTGGGGTGGACGGTCGCCTACTGCTCTTTTCATTTTGTTAATAAGATGTTCTTCTCAGAACAGCCTGCAGCCTTCGCATGCTAGCTTGCTTCTGTCTTGTGGTAAGGTAGGTCCTGGAACGTGTGGGCGCTGGGAGGGCCCGTGGGTGGCAACTCCCTTCTCATTCCCTTGCCCAGCTCCAGTTGTCTCCTCCAGTGTGAAGCTGGTGTGGCTTTGCATTCCATCCACATCCATGCGTTGGAGTCCTGGTTTCACTGTGAGTTCTGTTCTCAGACAAGGGAACCTGAGACAACTCCTTTCACTCCCACCCCTGCCTGGAGCCTCCCTCAGCTGCCTTCCTTCTCTCCCTGCAGCTTGGGAAGAGGAGAGAAAGCTTTTGGCTTCTGCTTCCTTTGCAGTGCGCCATAAGCCCCACTGTGTCATTCCCCAAAGGTCCAGCTTGAGGCCAGCTCAGTTGCAGACAGAGTCAAAGCCAGAAATATGTGAACCAGGCAGACCTGGGACCCTGCCTCCCCCTTCCCTGAATTGCCGCCCCCACCAGCTGAGCAGGTTTTGCTACACTGTTTTTAGTCAGGCCCCATCTTGACCCACTGTTGTGCCCTGGCTCTGGGGGCTCTTCCCATCTCACTGTTGCCTCCCCCATTCTCAGCTAAGCCACCCGCAGGGTCCAGTTCTCCCACTGCATCAGGAGTGCTTGGAGGCTCTTTCCTGAGTTACATTCAGATCCCAGGGGTATGTGGGAGGACGTCCCAGCTGAACCATGCTGTCCACACAAGCAAAGTCTCAGCAGCTGAAATGTCTTTACATCTGGTAATGAAACCTTTTGTTTTGTTGTAGGTTATCTGCAGGGAAAGTGGGGGAGAGGAAGGTAGGGGCCAGGGAGAGCCATTGCCTCTGTACTAAGGTCAGGTCATGGTGAGCCAGGCTTTCTTCCCGTCACTGCTCAATCTAGAGCCTGTACATCTCTGCTCAATTCACTGCTTTGGGTGAGCCTGGAAGAAGCCCTCTCCAGACTCACCTCGAGCTCCATGTGGAGTGACTGGCCCCAGGATGCACACACGTACATGTGTCCCTATCTCCTGCACCCACATGCAAACAGTCTGAGCTTAATTGTTCCAAGGGATGTCTCTGCTACCTCCGTACCATGCGAGGTGCCTGCCCTATCACTTGGTGGTATCTTCTATTCTCCGACCAGAACGGAAGTGGACTGTGGAGACTCCGCCAGCTGGGTAGAGCTCCTGAGATGGAGAGAAGAGCCTGTGGTTCTCCAGGGATAGGGGGTGAGCATGCAGAGACACTCCTGTGATCCTGTAGGGAGTGGACTCTCAGTCCAGAGGCACCTCAGCAGTCTCCAGCCCTGCTGCAATTGAAAGCCAAAACACATTCAGCTCCCATATTATGGAAAATGGGAACATGCTACACAGAAGCAGCAGCCTCAGGACACAAAGCCACTGTAGCTCTTCCAGCATCTGAAGCCATCTCCCTGATACCAGCAGAAAGAGACCAGGCGGGGACCTCTGTAAGTCTCTTTTCTAAGTCCTCCCAGCATCATCAGCACCTTCTACACTGCCTGCATCATCTCTGACCTCAGTCAGGGACCTCCCCATCCTCAGGGCAGGCATCACTCTGGGAAGGACACTGGCCATAGTAGTTATCTGAAGGTTCCCTTGATGAGGTACTGTCAGGACTGCATAGGAAACTCAAGCAAATAATACAGGCTCAGAGTCTCAACTGGTATAAACCAGCACAGCACTACTGCAATCAGACTGGGCCAGTTTACATCAACTGAAGGTCTGGCCCAAAGGTCATCTTATTGCAGAACCCCTAACAGTGTCTTTCTTGCAGAATACCCTAATGCGTAGCTGCAGTGCTGAATGGTAGAATTTAAGACAGCTGAACATCTTGCCATACATTGATGTAGATGGTCTCCTTGCCATTTAATGGAAGGAGACTCTCAGGTAAAGAATATCATATCAATGGCCAGCACCAGGCCTGTAGGTGACAGGCTGTTACAAAGCCAGTGGTTAGTGTATGCATGCGCTTCCCAATAGGTCTTATTAGTGGGAGATCATCCTGAATTCTGAGTGTGGATGCAGCCTTCAAACACTCCTATCTATCTTGCTTCTTCTCTGATGGTAACCACTGGAGGGTGCACCCTCTGCTAGCCCCAAGGCTTCTTCTCCATAGACATCCCAGCCCATCACTACCAGACCCATATCCTTCGTAAGGGTTATTCCATGGTAGCCAGTCTGCTGGCCTTGTGGTATGGGCATGATGAATGTGTAGCTTTGATACTTGGTTGGCATGACTATGGAGACTGTGGCAGGCAATGAACCCAGCCTGGGAAGAGGAGGAATGCCTTGAATTGCTTGGAAGTAGTCTGGCCAGCTGTTCTCTAAAGTGTTTATTTTGCACCATAAATGGGCCTGATGCTTGGCAAACCAGACCAGTTCCTTCCCTAAGGACCTGGCAGTAAAAGCAGGTAAGACATAGCATTGTTTAATAGTGGCCAGAAAGGCATAAATAGGTAAAAGCTGATTAGCTGAATCCAAGTGGGCAAGGAGAAAGGATGTTATGGAGACCTCATTACCAGCTGGGACTGATTCCTCTGGATCTAGCAAGGTCTCTGGCTCTGGGCTAGTGGCACAATTTTCAGATCAGTTGGATTTATTAGGTGGTGGTCTGCACAAACTGAGTCAGCTGGCAAATCCATGACTGAACAAGTGACCTTGAGAAATGCTTAGGAAGAGCTAAAGGAACATACACTGGGTGTGGAGGTGGTAGTGATGATGATGGGAACTTTCCACAAAGCTGGAAGAGGTACAACTGGTCCTGAGCAGAGCTGGGCAAGTGGTGCAAAGCCCTTTCTCCATGGATAGTCATGCAGATTTGTTTTGGCAGCATTCGTGTCTTTCTCACGTTGGTGCCCTGCATGCATGTATGCTTGGGCATCTGTAGCATGGATGTGCTCTGAAAGCACATCTTCAGCTCATCCTTCCCAAAGCTCACAGAAAATGCACCTTTGAGTTGCTTTCTATTAGCGTTAGCCCAAGAAGCCCACTAAGAGTCAGGCTTCTCCAGCCAGGGCAGAAACAAGTGGTCCTACATGGGTACAGTTTTTGCAAACCAGATTCCATGGAGCAGTGACTAAATGTGTTGTTCCACAAGCAGAAAAATTCATCCCAACCCAATTAGCACTAAGTTCATCCACTAAAGTGATCAGTCCTGAATGATCCACTCAGCTATGGCCTTGAGTAAGAGCCTAACTTCTCCATACAGTCCTTCCACTGAGGGGAGAGGAATTGCAGCTCCTCAGACAGCAGCTCCCCTGCTCATTCCTGACCTGGTGCCGTAGTTTCTCATGGTTATGTCTGAACACATACATGTTTCCTAATTTTTAATGAACAGGAATTAACTGATCTAACAACCATGGGTTTTTTATTACCAACTTTTGTTGCCATAAAGATATGTAAGCTTTAAGTGATTGAATTCTAGGAGGACATGTTGCAGCTTCCTGCTCTGATGGCCTCTCCTCCCCACAGCCCTGCTAATGCAGGATTCTAAGGTGGAGGTGAGGGGGGAATCTCCGATGGGGGAGTTGTTACTTTGGTTAACCTGTAGCTTTGGTTACTAATTGCACTATAGTCTCCTTCAAGATCCTTTCTGAACTCGCCAAAAAACACTGGTCAGGCAGCCAGAGCTTTTTCTTCATGACAAGTTCAGTCTTTCCAGTGGGAATGTTGGAAAACCCTGGACATCCATAGGAAATCCATAGGGATGGACATATGCCAGCCCATCTCCTGGTGTGTAACTCAGCTGGCTGTCGGTAGAGGCTAAGCAGGCAGCCCCCATGGGACTACATCTCCTAGGCTGGTGCAGGAATCTCAGTGATAGCTCCCTGACAGGCTGCCTTCCCAAACTGCCCTTTTCCAGCAGAGGAGTTCTTACATGTTCCTGCACCTTCCACTTCTTAGAGGAAATCTGGAAGCACTGGTTCTTCCTCCATAGTAAACCTGAAGCCAGCAGTGCCCTGTACACAGGGCTGCATGGGATGATACTGCCCAGCAGAAAGAAATGGTAGAGGTAGGCTGCACAGCTGGACTGGCTGGTGGGAAGAAGGGAGCAGACAGTCATCACTGAGGGTGGTAGGGCATTGTTTTGCTTCAGTGCCAAGATCCCTAGAGCTGCTTTTGCATCTACGTGCAGACTTACATCTCTATGCCCTGAGCCAGCTGAATCATCCACCTACCAGATCTCTACATCCATGCTTTCCCAGGCTGCTGTTTTTGCCAGCAGAGCCTTCAGTGGTTCCACTGCTCATATGCTGGGGGCTGCAGTCAGGCTTCTTTGCTGGGAGGTAAATGCAGCTGTGCCTGGCCTCTGTCACTCTGGTCAAGCCAGGACCCCGGAGGTCAGCCCCCCAATCCTGTAATGGTGTCTAAGGGTACTGGGGAGATGAAAAAACACCCTTGCCCCATGGGAGAATTCCCACTCCTGAGTGTCTCTGCAGTTGTGATACAATTCTAGCCTCTCCTGCTCTGACACATTTACGGTGTGGACCATCATATATAATCCACCCTCCTGGTTTTTCCCTCCTTGCTGTGGTCAGGCACTTCATTACAGCCCCAGCTTGTACATTTTGCACATTCAAGTTGCTATGACCTGAGATCTGTTAGCTTAAGCAGAGGTAAGAGCCAGAAAAGGAACAGGAAGAATTGGGTGTTTTTATGGAGTTAGTCCAGAGAGGAGCTGAGCCCCTGCAGCTCTTGTTGTCTGCATTGTGAATAGTTTTATTTCCAAGGGTTTTAGGCACTGGACACATGACAGTACAGCACAAGGAAGCCAAAATGCCCTTGCCACGAGGCTTATCACTATTGAGTACCATGGGGTGCCTACAGGACCCACCTGCCTCATGGTCCTAGGTGCTGTATATGCACGGAGTAAGAACATTCCCTTTCCCAGAGAGCTTGCAGTCTAACCAGACAAACAGTGGGGAAACTGCAGCACAGAGACATGTGGTCACTTGCCTAGGATGGGCAGGGCTCAGCCAGGCCATTGCACCATCCAGTGCAACATTCTGCCTCTGACAGTGATTAGTGCCTGACTGCAAAGGAGGCATCTCCATGAATGCACTGTCCAAGTGCACACTGCTGCCCATACAGCTGGGGGAGGGAAGATGCCTTCCCACCCCAGCAGGATGCCAGTTTGACAAGCTGCCCTCCTCTTGGCTTTAGGGTGATTAAGGGTATTAGCCATTGCACTACCCCACCGCTATCCAGAATAGCCCAATGTTAGCTCTCCTTTCACTTAATCTGTTTGGCAAGGTGGCCTTGTTGTGATGTCTTGGGGAGGGCTGGATTTACACCTGATACTTATTAGCAGAGACACCTGGTTCTCAGCTGTTGACTTCAATAGCAGTCAAGGTCACATCACAGCTCCCTGCATGAAAATCTCTTTCCTTTTGGGTACCCACCTGCTTCTGCTTCCCTGCTGAGATGATCTCGTCCTCCATTTGTGTAAGAGCCCAAGTGCTTCTTCTCTGCTCCAGGGTGAGTTCTGTCCTTTTAGGGACATCATGAACTCCCAGTCATGGTGAGTGCTGAGAGGATCCTCAAGAAGGCCCTGCCCTCTTGGCAATTTACTTTAGAAACTGGGCAGTGCAGGGTCCATGTGCTAATATCTGTCGTGCTCTTAGAACCTCATTAGGTGGCAGACTCATCCCTCATGTTATGCTGAGTCTGATTTGGGCCTCTGATGCTGCAACCTGGTGAGAACATCTTTTTGGCCCATCTACACAGGCAATATCAGGCATGTTATAAGCTAGTAGGAGGATGAGTGTGTTTTTCATGGATCCCCTGACAGATCTCCCATCGGAGATGTGCTGAGCCAACACCTTCAGCCACAACACTGCTGTGGGGGCTGGTGAGCCCACAGAGGTGCAGAGGTTTGAACTGAAGTGCTATGGAAAAGGGAGTGTCCTGCTCCTTATACCCCAGGGCTAGTCCTGCCCATGAATAGGATTTACCAGGTTGTCCAGAGTTTTCCGTGTGTCCACTGCTGCCCTTCCACCAGGAAGGAGACTGCAAGGGGAGTGTGGGGGTGCAGGAGAAGCCACTGAGCAGCTAGTGCCTTCAGAAAGAAATGGTGCATTTTTTCTTCTAAGGGAGAAGGGAGCTTGTGAGGTTGGCTCCTGGACCCAGCTGTGACAGAACCTGCTTTGCCTCCTGGAGCTGGGTCAGACCAGGCGCTCCACGTGTCTGCAATGTGGATGCCACCCTGTTTGTGGAGAGGCTGGGACAAGGCTTTTCCATCTCTTACATTTTCGAGCCCCTGTGTCTGGTGACTAGACTTCTTCACCCGACCTCAGCATTCATCTGTTCTTTCAGCTCTCAATCCCAGAAGGTGGGGACATTTTTCTGCCCTTACAGGCCAGTCTGGGTCTCTGCAGCTGACATGAAAAATAAAGTGACTTCATCCATATAGGGGCTCAGCATAGGAGGGTAGAAACCAGTGTGGTCCCTGCTTTTACAATCAAGGGAACTTGACAAGTTGTTGGGTCCCCAGACCATAACATAGGAGGTTGTTATTCAGTGGGGAGAGGGGGAGATTCTCATGAGCAGTCAGGGTGCCAGAACGGAAAAGCCTTTCTTTGCAGTCATGTTACAGCCAAGACATGGGGATGCTGCTGAGCTGAGCAAACTGATGGACTGTCTCTTCAAAGAATGCTGCATTGAGGAGCTAAAGTTTTTCTTAAAAAAGAGGGTGAAGATAATAAAATGACATGAGCTGTTGGCCAACCCCACTGGCAGCCAAGTAGGAACCAGCACTGGGTCTATTACGCACAAGGCCTACCAAAGCTCTCAGGAGCACAGCTGTCTTGGCACTCTTTGGATAGGTGCAGTGTGTACCCACACCACACATGGTACTTCTGCAGCACAGTGTAGGGGACATGGTTGTGGCCCTTCCTTACTTCTGCCAGCCTGGTTTGGAAAGAATAGCAACGGTGCCACTAGCATAGCAAAATCCAGGCACTCACTGGAGTACAAGAACTCAGCTGCAGGGAGGGACTGGAAGTCAGGCAGGCTGGGCAGCTCATTTCTACTGCAGTACTGGAAACCCAAATGCAAGAGCTCTGGACTAGCGTGCAGGAACCAGAGTGAAAGACTAGAAAGGGCAAGTGGAAGTGGCCAGTCAAATCACAAGATCTGAGCAGGAGAAGCAAAGAAACAAGGAAGCATTCAGCAGCAGAGAATGAATTTCCTTTCTTTAATCATTTAGAGCACTGATGATAATCCAGTGACACACTATGTGTTTCATGGTGTACACGTTTTGAAGCCAGATCCCTAACTGGCGTAGCTTCACTGACCTCTAGATTTACATTACCAGAGGAGGTGGGGCTATGTCCAAAGATTACTGGATTGACAGACAGAGTCTCTTTAAAATGTGTGTATTTTTTTTAATGTTGCAATTTCTAAGGAGACATTGAGCGCTCAGGGAAAGCAGTTGTGATGCTTTGGTGGGCAACCACGCGGGTGTCCTGTGAGGTCAGAAAATAGTGTGCAGCACAGTACTGAAGAAGAACCAAGGCAGCCTTGTCCTCCTGGAATACAGCAGAAGCAATGAGGAAAATGCCACAGAAAAACTTCGCATTTCCCACTGGAAAAGGAAGAGCTAAAAGGGAAACTATAATATTTGGAAGAGGAAGACTTGCTGGGCCCAGCGGTCAAGTGGCAACGGATTCCACCCCTCAAGGTCCGGCCCTGAACCGGCCGGCCCAGTCGACGGGTACGGTTCTGTCACTGACTCGGTTCTGATTCAACCTCCTTAGCACCTCGATTAGGTATCCGCTGGTCCAAAGTATTATGAAAACTGCTGAAGCTGTGATATTTTGAGTTACTACAGAAGGAAAATAAAGTGGGAGAGAGAAAAAATAAATCTGAAAACCATTTTCTTACTGTACATACAACCTCATTCTCCTGTATATTCTGAAGATATAACCTTATATTTGGTAAGTGTTTCTTGTGCTATTTTATCACGTGACCTGTTTATAAAAATATATATTAAACATTTTAAAAAATGCAGGGGCCTGGTTCCTTCCCGCGTCGTCGCCTGCTCCCTCCCGGCTCTGGGCACAGGAGTGTCGCCGGCCACCCTCCCTCCGCTCCTCGGGCCTTCCGGGGCGGCGGGCCCTGCGCTCCGCTCCGCGGCTCCCACGTGCTCCCCGCGGGCCTTCGCTCCCCGATAGCGGTTTCATTTGTCCCAAGAAACCCGGGGCTGCGCTTTCAGCGGCCGCCCTGCCTGAGGTGCTGACGGCAGCTTTAGTGGCCTTGGCCCAAGCCAGGCCTTCCCCTGCGCGGGGCAGCAGGTAAGCGGTCCTGACGCTCCCGGCTGCACGGGGGTGGTGGAGGTAAGCGGTCCTGACGCTCCCGGCTGCACGGGGGTGGTGGAGGTAAGCGGTCCTG